GACATGGTTCAGTTAAGTGTGTAGAAATTCGTCATAGTTTTGATCAAATTTGTCATGGTTTAGATCCAAATTAATACATATTTGTTTCACCTTAATATTGTGAGTTAGTTTGAAGGCGCTTGTAAAGAAAAGAAGTTACAAAATTTACAAATTGACTAAAAGGAAAACAAGCCTTTTTAACCATTGATGAGCGTAAAAGGCAAACCGTACATTAGACATTCTTACTTTTCGTGTGTTTCCAAAGATAAAATTTATATAGCCACAGCCCCTTTGAACAGGCAATTCGGTAAAATAAATTACAAACAGAAAACGTTGCTCCTGTTTCACCTAGAATCTTTTCTCCGTATGTCAATGATGGACTGTACAGTTATCGTGAACGGCAGCACAAGTCAAATGTTTAAAAAAAACGTCTATTTAAAGTTGAAAAACGTAGCAGCTAGTCAATTTTTTTTACATGTGTTCTAGCAAACTATACATCTGTGGTCTTTATTTTGAACCATATTATGTCTATGATGAATAAAGGGAGATGTGGGAGTTATACGCCAATGATACAGTAACCCAATAACAAAACTAACCAAACGATATCAAGAGGGCACCATACATTCTTCAACAAAAGACAGCTATCTATACAATATTTCAATCTCTTAATCTCCCCAAGTCTATAAAGTTGTGAATAAATTAAACACAGACAATCAAAATGGTTTAGGACTAACATAAGACTAAGGTGCACAAGTCCCCTTCAAAATCCTTATTTCGTTAATCAGATGTAGACACTAAAAAATTCCAAAAATCTGTTAGAGTACATGCAATCTAAGACTCTTTCATCTTGCAATAGTTTTAAACCATTTGACTTTTCTACACTTTACACAAGTATTCCCCATTCTAAACTAAAAGACAAATTGAAAGAGTTGGTCCTGCTTTCTTTCATAAAAAAGGATGGCCAGCGTAGATAAAACTATCTTGTCTTAAGGAGAGATAGATCGTATTTTGTAAAAAATCACTCTGATTCAAATAAAAACATCTCTGAAACTGATATTATCAAGATGCTTGATTTCTTGATTGACATCATATTTGTAACGTTTGGAAGACGTGCTTTTCAACAAACAATCGGAATTCCAATGCAAACCAACTGTGCTCCTCTTCTTGCCGATTTGTTCATGTATTCATATGAGGCCACCTTCATACAGGAGCTTCTAAGAAAGAATGAAAAGAAGCTAGCACTATCCTTTAACTTCACTTTCCGCTATATAGATGATGTCCTCTTACTAAATAATTGAAATTATGGTGACTATGTTGAACGCATCTATACCATCGAACTTGAAATAAAGGATACAACAGATACAGTTAAGTCTGCCTCATATCTTGACTTACATCTAGGAATTGACAATGAGGGTCAGTTGAGAACAAAACTTTACTTTGGCACAAAACTTTACTTGGCACAAGAGATGATTTCAGCTTCTCGATTGTGAACATTCCATTTCTATGTAGCAACATTCCAGCAGCGCCTGCATTAGGGGTATACATCTCCCAGTTGATACGATATTCCAGGGCTTGCGTTTCCAATCATGATTTACGTGATAGAGGTTTGCTGCTCACAAGGAAGCTATTAAACCAAGAGTTCTAAGTGGTGAAATTGAAATCATCCCTTCGAATATTTTACTGACGCCATCACGAGTTGGTTGACCGATATGGAATATCTGTTTCACACACGAAGACGGATATGTTCCAACTGTCGTAACAACAATCCCGTCCAGCTTTTCCCCGAATGTGACCTACCGAATTAGACTTATCACCGGGTTTGTACCTATATGAGCAACACGACGAGTGCCACATGTGGAACGGGATCTGCTTACCCTTCCGGAGCATTTGAGATCTCCCCCGGTGTTTTGGTGGGGTTCGTGTTGCTCAGTCTTTAGTTTTCTATGTTGTGTTTTGTATGCTGTCGTCTGTCTTTTGGTTTGTTTTTTTTTGCTATGGCCTTATCAGTTTTTTTTCGACATGTGAGTTTGAATGTCCCTTTGGTATTTTTCACCTCTCATTTTCGTGAATATCAAAAACAAAACTGAAATATTTTTGTGACTTGTCGGTGGTGCCCACATTTAAACATCTGGAAGTCTAAAAACTGATTAAGTTGAAGAGCAATGTAAACCAAATATTCCATAAAGTTTTGCATGGAGCAGAACAAACATTAACGGTAAATGTACAGAACATGACTGCATGAACGATATCAACCGTCTCTGGCGGAACAAAACTTTAACATGGACAACAGTTCAAACTTTTTTTTAATAAACTATAAATGAAATTAAGTTGAAAAACGTAATAAGTTGTCCATTACTTACAAAGTTCCGAATTTAAATATGTAGGACTCTGAACCGCAATGGTACTCCAAACCGCGATGGTCAGGCTGCATGATGTGCGATGGTTTGACGCTGTAGTGCGTTTTTGATCACGCCAAAGTGCAACGGTGGCATTTTGACGCTATCTTGTTGGTAGCTACGCCGAAGTGCGATGGTGGTTACGCTGAAGTGCGATGGATTGCAGCCGAAATTAAATTTAAATGTTTTTCATGTTCACATGTCGAAGTAGAAGTCAATTTATTTGTTATAAGTAGCTTATCGGTTTTTTTTATGTAAAACATCGAGAGTATAACCCGTTTAATCTAAAACAGTCATGATCAATTGTCATTGCATTACCAGTCCTCACTATAACGTTGTAGTGTACATTATACTTTGTAAATAGCTTAGACAAAATAAATGCAGTGGTTCATACAATCGTTCAGAAATTGACGCAACAAACGAAAGCTATTTCCTTTAAAACAAGTACTAATTGCAATGACTGAAAAAATGTGGTAGATTTTTTGAAATGCAAATACTTTTTGGTTAGGCAGAACGAAACAAAATAAGCGAAAAATTAATTCGGCTGGTGTGAATCAGATCAAGGAATAAGATAGATCACCGATGGTTTTTTTGATGCAACTTGAGTAACTATTGTTTTGTATTTATATACACGTACCAAATGTTTGGTATTTATATTCATTTGTAAATGTTAAACTAGCCATCACGCGTCTAACTATCACACATCAGCGAAAGGACCATCGCCCTTCGGCGCAGACCATTGCACTTCAGCGTGACCATCGCACTTCAGCGTTCCCATCGCACCTCCGAGTCCTACAAATATACGAAAGATCACAATTTTGAATTAGTATTAGGTCAATATAATGTCCATTTTTATCAATTATATTTAAAAATGAATAAAAACGATTATGTTGTTGTCATATTGTATAAATGTATTGTGTAGTATAATTGCCTAATACATTGGCTCTAAAATAATAAAAATAAGAAAAAGCTTAGTCGATCTATTATTTAGTATGAGAAATTGTACATAATTTTATTAAATAATTATGATTGAAAAAATAATTTAAATTCCAAGATTCACGTTATATAAAGATAGCCTGTAATGCAGTGGCTGTCATTTGTTACTGTATATTGTTTTATTATACATAAATCAGGCATTTGGTTTTATAATTTTAATTATTTAACATTTAATTTTGTCGGGGAATTTTATAACTTGCTATGCGGTATGGGTTTGGCTCATTGTTGAAGACTGTACAGCGATCTATAGTTGCTAACATCTACGTCATTTGTTCTTGGGTGGATAGTTGTCATATTTGCAAGCATACTGCATCTACTTATTATATATCATTATGTGTAATTTCTTAGGTCCCTTTTTAAACAATTCCAAATGAAACAATTTTTTCAAGAAAATTACCAATGAAACGCATTAGTATATTATCCTTGTGATTTCATTATACATGTGTATTCCAAAATGTTAATATCTTAAATTTACTGGACATTAATGACTTATTTTCTAGAGCGATTTATTTTTCGCGAGTAGGAAAACAACGTAAATATGTGAAACTTAGATTTATTCGTATATGAGCAAAACAACAACATTATGTAATGGCGACAATATATTGCCGCGAAATGGGATAGAATGGGTTAAACACGAAAAAAAGTATCCTAGGAAAATAAGTTTTTTTTACAGTATTTCAATAGTTGTATAATGTATGTTTACCTTGATCGTTACTTTTCCTTCATACACGATAAGAATCACATAACTGAACTATGTCGAACATGAACTAAACCATGACACTACTGAACCAAACCATGACACTGAATTGTCAGTAATCTTAAGTTATGAGCAAAAGTGGCTATGTTTTTTTCGGAAAAAATACGGCAATTGTATATTATAACGAAATATGTGATGTAACAGACAGTAAACACATATTTTTTTTTATGATTGATAAACGAGAGAGCCATTTTTTTTTAAAATACGCAAGCATTATTCTGTGTCAAATTATTAACTATATGATATGATACAAATTCGAACTTACTAACTTATTATATATAGACAATATAATGACCAGTTTAAATTCATGTTCAGAAGCTCCTTTAGCAAAAAAAAAAAAAAAACAAAAAAAAAAACAGAAGGTTTAATATATTTTGTCATTGTTTGTCATAAAAACACTTTAAACACAATCATGTCCGACTGAACCAAACCATGACAAAATCACTGTACTTAACGCTCCTCGATATGACGACGTTACTACCGTGAATATATATGATACATGTATAATATATGTTTATATATTGTAGGTGTACATATTACAACCAATGTATCGAATCAGGTCAGTGGTATTGATGTTAATTCCCGAAATATACCTGATATCATGAACTACACTACTGACATAAATACATATAACCTGGACCTTAGTGGAATAACGTCGTTGGGGTTTGAATTAAAGGCATGCCACGATGCACATGTTCTTTTATCAAATTCTGATGTCAGAAATTCGTCAAATCCATTGTATGAGATTATCATTGGATTTTACAATTACTTTTCGCTCATTATCTACCGCCCAGACGCAGTGAGAGATGATGGAAGCTGGAATTTTACGGTGGTTGAAACCGAAAATATACTTAACTGCAATGTGTATCTACCATTCTGGATTTGTTGGGCAGATGGAGACATTATATTAGGAACTGGTCTTGTCGTTGGTGAAAACGTTGTGGGAAATTTGACAAATACGCATCATTTTGAAGTGAGAAGCATTCACGTATTAACAGACAAGGATGTATTAGGAGAATGGGACATACAAGTTGAAGGTTATTTTAAAATTAGTATTTCATTTTGGTTTATTCTAAATTCATAAGAGCAATCAAATCTGGTCTTTTTTTATATCTTTATTGATAAAAGAAATATGCTTGCCTTTTCATTGGTAAAATCAATGTCCACATTTGCTTTTCAATTGTTTTTCTCCACGGTAAACTGACTGATTTTACAATACGTATAATTTCTTTATTCTATGTCTGCCTAGTAACTGAGAACGGCAATGCATTACATTTCCTTTACATCTTTCAAGATTGTTAAGCATTGGTATCTCCTTCAAACAGGTTTTTCTTTTAAAAAGGAAAAAAAAAAACTGTATACATACACATCGTCCACATGTATGATGGGAGTTTTCTATTTTCAGTTGTACATTTCATACCATAATTTACCATCACGAATGCCGATAGTTCCAAATGAAAAATGTATAAAAATTAAATTTTGTTCATATAATACAAAAATGAATATATTATATGATATTTATATTTAAAACATACATTGGTTCTATATATACAAAAACTTTCTATACATTTTTTTCTTTCATTATCACCAAATGGTTATTTGTTTAAAGTATAGAAACTTACTTGTCATACCTGTATGTAAATCTAGTGAGAAAATTTTATATGTGTTTATTTATTTTTTCGTATAACTAAGTTCTTTGCAATACTTTTATTTTATTTTCTGAATGATTTTAATCCTTAGTTTTCTATAAACAATACATTCCCTAGTAAAAATACTATATAGTAATCGATTTTTTAAAAATTTTATTTAACGGAAAGCGGCGAATGGTAACATGTATATGTGTGTAAGTGCTCATCAAAAATATACAAAATAAAATAAGCATGGCAATGCCATTTTGGAACATTTTTAAGGTCAACGTGAAGTATAAGTGTTTGTGTTTATAATGTACACATCTTTTTTGGATAAACTTTTTAGAAGGTGAAAAAATATAGTTTTGCTTCTAATTTTTTTTTATCAGAATTGTTCTTGTGTTTTAACTTTGACTTTGACTTTGCAAGGGACTGGGTATCAATTTGTTAGCTTTGCTCGCAGTACCTCTATTTTATTTTAACTAGTCACAAATACAAATGAATCATTTTGGTTTTCTTAAGAAAAAAAATCAGATCTACTCAAACTTTGAAAAATGATAGAGCATTTCTGATACATTATTTTATGAAAAGACGAGTTAACATTTTGACTAAGTTTATATATATATTATATAAATCACTGGTGATCCGATGGATAAAATCTGTCGTAGAGTTGTCACTGGTTCAGACGTACACATATATATATACATTAATTTGTAAGATCCTCTACGATAGATAATTCAGCTGATCTGTAATATTCCATCTTCATGTTATATATATCATGTACTGTGTTACGACGCTAGATAAAAACTGACGAGGAAAGGTAACACCCGGTATATATATATATATATATATATATATATATATATATAAACGTCTGAACCAGTGACAACTCTACGACAGATTTTATCATATATATATATATATATATATATGTACGTCTGAACCAGACTGAGTGACAATTCTACGACAGATTATATCCACCGGATCACCAGTGATAGTGATACAAGGCTGAAAACACATTCTGTATATATAATTCGTCTTAATAACAGACCAACAATGTTAGATATGTAAATTTGCGGAAGCAAATTTTTGTTCTTCCCTGGCCGGGATTCGAACCCATGCGAATATATATATATATATATATATATATATATATATATATATATATATATATATATATATATATAGTGGAAGAGTTGCGGCCCTTAACTAAGGTAACGGGTCTATGAATAGCTCAGCAAAAAACCAGTATTTTGGTAATATTTCCCTTTGAATCTTGAAAGAATAGTATTGTAATCGGAAAGAGTACAAACACTGATGACTTTTCACTTGTAAAATTGCAGTTGCAATCTTGAAACTACAAAGATATTTTGGTAAACATGACCAAATAAGACACACATGAAGATTCCAATATGGCGTCGTATGCTGATTCTTTTGAAAGAGGACCTAAATTTCAAAGTCTGACTCTTTGTCCTCAGTAAAGCCAGTGTTTGTAGAAGAATCAGATGTTTTTGGTCATATCCCTAAACCAACTATTAAAAATTTATATTTAACTATTAATGAAATGTACCAAGCTGTAGGTGAAGTTGTGCCAAGTAGATCAATTATTGGCCTACAGAGAATAAAAGGTCTATGGAGAATCTATCTCTATACAGAAAAAGATAAAGAATGTCTACTCTCAGATAGTTTTGAACTTTGAGGAAAATCCATCTCAATTTACTCTAGAAATCCTCGAGTTCGCATACAAGAAGATTCAACAGATGTGAAAATTCGCATAAAAGATGTACCCCTCTCGGCTGATAATGGACATATTTTGAGAGCATTAGAGGCCTACAATTGTGTAATATTGAAGCACTTAAGAGAAAGTGTGTGCTATGAAGGCAATGTAGCGTGTTATTTAAAAGTGTGGACCACATTTATTTAGGTTATTTCGATTCGAATAAATAGAAAAAATATTAGTCAGTCCATATAATTTAATTCTAAATTCCATTTTAAAGGAGTAAATTATGAAAAAACGTTGATTACGTCACGGTCACATGACAAAATTATGTCTATGAGCTGATAGACAAAAAAACTGTCAGCCAATCAAAAGACGTGTTTCATCCAAATTCAAATATTTCCTAGATAAAATGTATTTTAGGTGATATTTTCTTCTTTTTGTTTCAGTAGATTTAGTGTTTTTAATTGCTCTTGGTCTGATATAACATAATATTATGTCAGAATATGGACTTCAGAATATTCGATTTTATTTGTATTAACAAATTTGTAATTGAAAGTTCCAAATAGTATTTTTTTGTTTACATAAAATGGCCGTCGGAATGACATAAAGGTATAGCCAACAAGATTTATTGTGTTATGGTTGCATGTATTTATACATTACTATCCAACATATAATACATTGTATCTTCATGTATCTCCAACTTAAAATTTCAATTGTTTTACTAATTATTTTTGCAATTATTACAACTTATTTCAATTCATACACTTTCTGTCCCCTTACATTTTTATAAAGCAGTTTGAGTATTTCGATCAGCTTACGGTCCAAATTTCAACTATTTGAAAACAGTTTGTCTTTCTAAATGACCAGAAAATTCAAAATTTGCAAATTCTTTTCGATTTTTCAAAACCATGAGAACATCAGTTTTTCAAACAGTTTTGTCATAAGTTTATTCATATCTGTGGTAGATCACTATTTTTTATAATAACATTCTCTAGAGAACTTATTTTGCTCTTATATATATATACTGATAGAAGTTTGAGATTGGTTCATAATTAAATTATATAAAATGCATGAAAAGAAAATTCCTTTTCTTTCTAATTTCATATTCTACTAGATACAAAAGCATACCGAACATGACGTATAACTATTTGATGGATAGGACCCAAAACTACTGTTACAGTATCTATATATAATGGCTTGATAAATGACAAAATCAAAACATTGAAATGTAATACTCGTAATATTTAATTCACAAATGTCCTGTTGAAATCGCGTGATTACTTGACCAGAAAATTCGCAGTTCAATGAGTTGTTGTTTGAAACATAAAACTTCACATGCAGTACTTAACATTTATTTTTGTTTTAATTAAATTCATGACAGTTCGGAAAAACTCTTATCGCAACTCATCCATTACCTTCGGAAATAAAAATTCTTCAGATGTATGCGTTACTATAGGTTTTTTAATAAAAACATAAATGCTTTCGAATAAAAAGTTAAAACAATTTTTGATACAGTTTCAGACAAATTTGCTGGATATTTTGACAGTTGTAGTATGGATAATACCAAGTCTGAGTTGGTTGTAGTGGATAACATGGAATGTTCAGAAATGATGTGTGCTACGAGCTGTGGACGGTCAAAGACTTGTATGGGTTACAATTTCAACAATGCAATGAACAGGTTCGTGTTAACAAACTTTTTCTTGAAGTTCTGTACAATTACATCCTGAAATGTTTTCAAAGACAGGTTTTGTTAAGTCTGGTATCAAGAATATATTTATACCAATTGTTCTCCGCCCTTGCTATTCTTTTTTACCCTGAACGTACGGTATTTGAACTTACTTTTTGTTCATGAATGCAAGAAGATCAGGGCATGCCTCAAGATACATCAATCCAACGCAATGATTAAAATTCAGAAACAATTATTGTATCACCCTCCGGATTTCAATTAATGACAAGCGTCCGTAACCTATTTTCGGCTTTTCAGTTCAGTCAAGTTGAACATGAATTCAGCAAGAACAAGTCAGATTTCAATCAACAACAAATTATAAATGATACAATTGTGGAATGAAAAGATGAAAATTAAAGTGGATTCAGATATTTAGCATTGCATACATGTATATTAATATCCAGTTAATTTGGTACCGTTAATGTCATAAACAAAGGTCAACACTACATGTAGTTTGGTTTGAAATCAGCACACTCTATTGTGTTTCAACAAGTTAAACTACATGTTTAAGAGATAAATGCATAAAGATAATCAGTTTATAAAATCGTTTTATTTAAACAAAATTGCTGTAACAGATAAAATAAACACAGTTAGAAACATTACTGAATACTACCGTATTAAATAATACCCACAGCCATATTCCATTCAACTAAAATAATCAATCTGCTGATATCGAAATCGTACCTTCTTACAACCTTATTTATGCAGCTATACTTGATTTCCATTTTTCATTTAGCCATGTCATGAAAATTGGCCAATGACACGACCCGTTTGCAATGCCAAAAGTGAATTCTGTACGAAATAGATATTTTTAAAAAGGAACAACACAACCTGCTATCATAATTAATTATTGTCCAAGTAAGATAGTTGAGGCTTTTTATGCCCCCGCTGCAAGTCGAAGGGCGCATTAAGTGTTATCCTTGACTTTTCGTCTGTCCCATCTTCTTTTGAAAAGCAAGCTTGAGCGGAGGCATTCGCGTTCTCAGACACATTCGTCTTTTATTTGAACATTATGTGAACATGTTTTTGAAGATTAATAATGCAAATGAGATGGTTATTACGTATTTATATATATAATTAGTTCATTAAATACAACACTAAGACCTTTTTTATAAGAAATAATAAGTTATCCTGGAAAGGCATGTTTTCTTGTCTTACACTTGAATGACGTCGACTTCCCGAATGTAGGCAGTTTTTCTTAAGAAATGTCAGAATATGAAAATGCTTGAAAATCTCCATATAACGAGAGATTGCCCAATACTTTCACATTCTGTACTTCCAATAAATGACATTTTTTTTACCAGGCATCATTCATGCCTATTCTACTGAAATCCAAATCACTTCGTGAACATTTGGAAAATCAAACTAGAAGCTTAGTTAGGTATAAAGATTGGTTTTTGAAAACTTTTGTAGTATAGCTAGGTAATAACGACAACTAACATTAAAGTTTGCATTATTTACCTCTAATACAGAATAGGAGGTGCAAAAAGTTTTTGACGCACTAAAATTCAATTTGTTTGACATGCATAAAAAATGTTGTTGCATAGTTTCCATGAAATAAACCTCTAAGTACCTTCTGGCTAAGTCATATGGAAATAATCCCTACCAGATACAATAATATAAATTAATAAACCTTAACTTTACACATTATGAAATACCATCGCGCCAAAAATCCTCTTATCTTATGCTACACTTAAAATGTCGTTGATCGAAACCTAAGCTTTAGGTGTTTCGTCGTGTATTTTAATCACAAGGAACAGTCACTACAACTAAATAGATGTGGTATGATTGCCAATGAGACAATCATCAATTAAAGACAAAAGGACTAAGATTGGAATAATAACGGGTCGCACTACAAAATACATTTGGTCAAAATCAAATTATACTTGTATTCTTTAAAACAATATTCAATTTATACATTTTAGATGTGAACTACTCTCTTTTGAATCAAATGTTGTGACAGACATACCACATCACATTGAAGCCGGATGGAGATTCTATAGTAAATGTTACAATAGGCAAACTGCTTGTCTTGGGTGTTATTTTTAGACGACTTATTGACAGTAAATAGTCTTTGATAAGGGTATCCATTGCAAATATTTATTTGTTTTTTAGTTTTTATTTTCTTTTAAGAACTGCATATACTCAATGTTCAAGAGACAACTGTAAAATAGCGATGTTCGAATCTCGTAAATCCATTTAGAAAATACCAATCGAGGTAAAAAAAAACCCTGAGGGACTCGTAAGAACTTTTCAAAAATCAAGATCGAGTGCTACGACTGGGTTATCGACTCCTGCTATACTTACATCAACTGCATTGGGAATCCACACTAAAAATACCTCAATAGGTAATAAGGTGCAATCGATATATTTACAAATAAGACATCTATTCAGATATAAAAAAAATCCAAGACCGTATCAACTTAATTGAGCTGAGACATAGATATAGAGTCAACAATTCGTGATGGTGATCGTAAAACTTGAAAAGTACAAATTTCAGTCGTCTTTCGTCTGATCCTGGCTGCAGACAATTTCACGTCAAGATAATGACCCAGTTAATGAAGCCTGTATAAAGGAAATATGCTCGCTCGTAACGTTATTTAATTAAGATCATACGGTGAAGGTATCTTACTGCTGAGAAATAGGAAGTTAACAATAAGTAACGATAAGTAAGCTGAAATCATCATGTTGTCATAGATCTTATTTTGAAGTATTCTATCCGTGTTAATATCAAGAAAAAAATCCAGACCCTCCAGTCTAGGCCTACTGGACGTTAAGCAACCAACAATCTATCAATCAATCCAGTCTAGGTAGTAGCCTTAATTTCAACTTCACTAGGATTTATGAGATGCAATAACAAACTGAAATGACGGTTACTGAGTGACAGAAGATCATCAATATATATCTCTGAGTGCAATTTAAAGAACTTGGAATTATTCTGCTTCTTAATATTTGAGAAGGTTTTGTATGAATTCTGCATGACATGAGTACAAAAACAAGCAGACCAGTAGGGCTGCACATTAAGTACACTTTATAATAACGGCTGTTTGTTGAAACATCAATCCACCAAACACAACAAATATGTTGGCAATAAAAAAATCAAAACTAGTATTGGTTTCGGCTTTCGGTTTTCCCCAATGTAAACAGCTGTTTTGATATTTAATTTAATTATTGTAATAACCAGATTTTATATTTTCTTAAAAATGTATTATAATGAAATGAATAAATGTGTAGAATAAATTTTTCGTATGTGCATATAAAATTTAGACAAAATTCAAATTAATCTTTAACGTTATTAAGCACAAGTATTATCAGATTTGTAAATTTAGAATATGTTCAGTATTTACAAAAATCATCATTGATGCGTCATTGGGCGGCAAATTACCAAACGTAATTATATAATGTATTTGTGAAATATATGTTTTACAATAGAATGGATTTGAATTCTTACTTTGGGTTGATTGTTTTTTTCCCTGTTGTTTTGTTGTCAGTTTTTCTGTTTTGTATCTCTTATTGTTGATTTTTGTTCGATTGTTTGTTTGTTTTGGGTAGACATATGATCTTATTTGTGGAATATATTTTTTTGGTTTTTATTATATGATATATTTATTTATTTTTTATCAAAAGAAAATTTGTTTTTGTTGTAGGATTAAAACTGATACTAATTTATTTTCGATTTCAACAAAATGGACATAATTGTGGCTAGAATATCTATGATATAACTTTTCAACTTAATGTTTGAATATTTATCTATTAAAATCATGCATGTTTCATAAATATAGATCCATAAATGTGGCACGGCCTTCACCTGATATTCATGCCCAATGTTTAAAGTTAAGTTAATCATTTTATATCGATGCTTAGCAATGGCAACAACACTTGAATTCATTAGAAGGAATATTTCATGCTTATGACATATATGTTATAGGGCGTCAACCTTATTTTCCAGCCTCGAGAAAGCTTTCAAAAGAAGTGTTTAAACATGGGTCAAGGTTAAGACTTCATTTTTGCGCTTCGTTGATTACGCTAAGGGTTAAAATATATTGTCTATGCTTAACCTGTTGACAATGATATTTGCCTCCGAATTGTAACATAACCTCGAACTTATTTCATTTTCAAATGGACCGTTCAAGTTTACAGACTTATACCAGCTGCTTATATTTTTAGTAGCTAAACAGACTGTATTTGCGATGCATGTTTCGTTGAGTTGTTGTAACAAATAAATCGGTTTGTGTATTTCGGACATATGTAATATATAGCTTTGACTTAGTTTTTTGTTGGTCTGTCCTTTAAAAACTATAAAAGACTCTCAACAATATTTTGTTTGAATTCATAATATAGAAAGCATGCTCATTTCAAAAATTTGAAACTGACATCATAATACTTTTTTATTGACCTTTTACAATATATTTTGTTTGAAAGACGTTTTTCAGCAGACATTCGGCATTTCTATGGAAACTATATATGTTCTTCACTTCGGGGATTTGTTTTTCTATTTGTATGAGGAAGATCTAGATTACATGAATATATGATTTTAATTTGCACTATAAAATTCTAAATTTATGATTAATTATTCCAGTGACACATGCATATTAAATGCACATCTTCTTGATCCTGATATATACCTGAATTTGCGTAATAATATAGCTGAATTCATCCCTTAGAAAATTATCAGACGCCAGTCGAAATTGGTTGAACTTTATGAAACAGCTGTTCCACAGATGACTAAGTGTATGTTTCATTTGTCGTAACCAGATAACCGTCCTCTTTTTCTCATTTACTTCTCACCGAATGAAAGTTACTACTGACTTACTTTTTATGAACAACAAGACTTGTATTTACCGATGTTTTGTGGGATTCATGTCATTTAATCGTAGATTTATATATTAGTGATATGTTGACTACTGATTTTCATTGCGTCTTTTTTTTTCTTTTTGAAAGTGTTTTGTCTGTTTTCTTCGACTTTTACTTTGAAATTATTTCACCCCTAATCTTTTAGGTATTTCTCACTTTCGATGGCAGAAGCGAAACATTTCGTGTGTCAACTTTTGTTGTGAATTTAAAAATTTGTATATACATATGTAATTAGGTCTTTCCACCTTTTCGTGAAAAGATCTCTTGATTTTGTTCTTATTATTATTTCCCTTATTGTGTTTTACATGAGTTGTATGTTGGTGTAAGTCATAAACCGTAAGTCATAAAGACCTAGAGGCGTTTGTTTTGGGTCCTTGAATGATAAACATTAAATGGAGGTCATCGATAAAGGAATCGGTATCAGGTTTAAGGCCAATTGTTATTTGAGACGTGACGCAACGCCTATACATTTTGGTCGAAGTACTTTGGTAGGAGTTTTCTCTCCTAGATATTTAAAATAAGGTGCTTGGTAGGAGAACTATTTAACCATACATATTATAGACGTGAAATCTTTTGATTTTAGATACATCACCTTAAATTGACGTTGTATATTTTTACCTTTGCTATAACTTATACTGGTACAATACAAAAAGGTGTTTTGAATTGAGCTGGACGACATATGACCTTAAAAAAGATCAACCGGAAGTGACCTTGTGTTAACCGGAGTTACTCAATCAAGTAAATTTTTAGAACCATTGTGACGCGAACTGTCTTTCCAAACCAGAGGTAACAGTTTTGTAAACCAAAAGAGCAAATTATTATTTCATTTATATCAAGCAAAAGTATACAGATACCATTCATTTGTCGATTTAGTGTAATCTAAGCTATCATATGAACCCGGAATCGTCATTTTGTACACCAGAAGTAGCAAATTTCTTGCTTATTTTAAAGGGATATTATGTTGGGAATCATTGAAACGTAGGCTATCAGTTGGGGTTGGTGTTGCTCAGTCTTTGGTTTTCTATGTTGTTTTGTGTACTGTTGTTTGTCTGTTTGTCTTTTTCTTTTTTAGCCATGGCGTTGTCAGTTTATTTTCGACTTATGATTTTGAATGTCCCTTTGGTATCCTTCGCCTCTCTTTTACACCAGAAGCGACTATTCCAAAACCGCAAGTAGCTGATCAACTCCCTTATTGCAAAGAAAAGAATTACAAACTACATAGTTTTGAAATCTGTTCAAAATAAGTTATTTTCTGACAATTTTCTGTTACGAAGGTTACTTTTTGTATTTAATAAAAAGTTATTGCATATCTGTGTAAAAGTTCATTTAAACCTTAATAATTACGATGATCGTCATGTGAGGGAGAAAGACCCTTCAATTGTTCTCTAAACTATTAGTTTTTAATTTTGTCTGACTTTGTTTAGATAACTCGGTTGTATCCAAAATCGGAATAATGCAGCTATTTTATCGTCCCCAGTGAAATTCCCGTTCAATATATTTCTTACTATAATGAGTCGAACATAGTTGATGTAAAACTGGGTTAATTTCAATGATATTCTGATGCCTCGTTCACACGTACATTTAATTCGAATTGAATTCGAATCGAATGCGAATCGAATTCGCTAATCGCGTTCACACACTCTTCTTTTTTCACTCGAATTGGCTAAATCGCATTATCCAATTCGCATTAGAAATGCGTTTTTGTTAATACGAATTAAAAGTTAACGTCGTTAGGACAGTAAAGCGAATTTGACGCGCATTGCAATTCGAAATAGAATTTACGTTTCCAAGGACGTTAAACGTTTCGAATGCGAATTAAACTAATTCGAATTAGTTAATGCGAATCGAATTCGAATTACGTGTGAACGCAGCATAAGGTCTTTTTGAATGCGACTTATCGGAATTTTACTGTAGTATTTTGTCCTGTTATTTGTAGTTCTAATGCTGATATATTTTTCTACTGCTGCTGGCGTAATCTCATAGTTTTACAATGGTTGAAATGTTTTTAAAGATGTATACAATATTCCGTTATATGTTAACCTGCAAATGAAAATAACAATTAATAAATGTTGTGCATCCGAAAAGCTTTTTTGATAAACATTCATCCAGAAGGAGCAAACTAAAATATTTTAAAACTGCAAAATATCAAATTAGAATTTTGGTCAGGCAAATGCATATCAAAACTTTGGGATTTTAATTCTGTTTTT